GAAGACGACGAAGCCATCACTCCCAACCACTTTCTGCTGGGAGGTTCAGCGCGCGTCCCACTGCCGGGCGAGTTCGACGAGAGCGACCTGATAGGCCGCCCGCACTGGAGAGCAGCACAGCGCCTCGCCGACCACTTCTGGGCGCGCTGGGTACGAGAGTACCTACCCGAGCTGCAACACCGGCGGGAGCCCCACGGGACCGGGAAGACCATCGCCATCGGGGACATCGTGCTCATCGCCGACAGCAACCTGCCACGCAACACGTGGCCCAAGGGAGTCGTCATCGCCACTTTTCCCGGGCGAGACGGCACAGTACGAGTCGTCGATCTGAAGACAGCCGGAGGAGTGCTACGCAGACCGACCAAGCGACTGGTGATATTCGCATCGGCCGCCACTCCCACGGAAGATGGATGCAGCGACGAGTCAACCGACGCTGCACGGCGGGAGTATGTACGCGACGACCGAAGCGAAAGAAAATGAACTCACGACGATACGAGAGCAATGTATAAAAATGTATCTATAATTTCACATGAATCGGTTGTATACGCATTAAAGATATCATTCCCTTGTTGTCTTATTAGAATGAGTCGGATATCGCAATAATAGATAGCTCTGCCCATAGTAAACCATTGTAAAATTGATAGTTCAGAGCGATATTCCGCCTCGTTCTCTCCAATAATCTTATAAGACTTTATCTAAACGATCGCCACGACGCCAAGCGGTGGCGCGGGGAAACTAGTCAGAATACTGATAGTTCCGACCTATAGGAGGGACGGAGACAATAGGTTGTCCTTGTCACACGTCTTATAGGATTTTGCCTGAGTTGACAATTTTCGATAATAGTATGTTTTATGTTTTGATTGATTTGTATTATGTCTTATTAGATAGTAGGTAGTTATAGGAATAATATATCGAAGTTTTGTATGAATCGTGTTAGTAGTTTAAGCGTAATTAAGGAAAATATCGGGAATAGTTTTTTATGAATAGTCAATAGGATATAGGTATAATTGTTATAATAATGATGTCATTTTATGTGTTTTTACTTCTTCTTTAAAATGGTGTATGATAATTAAACATTAAGCGAGTATAAGTAGGTTTTTTAAGACTTTTTAATTTGTAAACTTTATAGGGCCGTACAGCTGTTGTTTATTAATATTCTTGTAAGAAACTTGTTGTATTAGATAGGTAACACGTAGGGCTACGTAAATAAATAGGTATCGCATCAATAAGTGTAAAAATGTGCCGTGTAGGAGAAAAAACATGTTTGTATAGAACCGTTTTCTGAGACATGTTGCGCTCCCCACCCGGCGCGCCCGGAGCGCGCGGGTGGGGCAGCGAAGCCCCGTGGCAGGGCGAAGCCCTATGGAGGGGGAAAGTATAAATATTGCGGAGACCTATTTTTTGCGCGCCACACCTAAAATATCGTGTTTACGGACACATAACTATGTTAAAAATATGCCCAAATGTATGCCCGATGTATGTACAATTAGTTTTAAGCTCGCACTATTGTAAATTTTGAGAAAATGAAAAATAAAGTATAGCGTGGGTGAGGTAATGGATCGCTGGCCAGCTCAGTCCTAGCATATAAAATTCGAGTCGGAACATGCCCCGACATGCATTCAGCGACAGGCGCTCCTACCCTAAGGAACAGGAAGAAACAACCAAGCGGTTCACTCTGGACCTGAAGCCTCCTCTCACCGGCCATCCATTATCAGCGCCCACCGATTTCTTCAATACCGAACACCAGGGGTTTTATTCGCCGAAACTACAGTCCACTACAGTCAAGACTCCTGCGTGTAACTTCCTCCACCCCCTCAGTACGAGTCGGTAACTGTCCGCTACTGCGACAGCCCGGCGTCCCGTACAATATTAATAAAAATTTTATAAATTTAGCAAAATTAAGTACATTATGTCATTGTCCATAATATTACAATATTTTTTCAAATTTTTAATTTACTTTTTTGGCTGTCCTGAAAAATCGGCTTTTCGATAATTCATATTACAAGTGACGATTTAACTCTGTGTCTTAGATATTTTTAATAATTTTTAAAAACTAAATCTTGTTTTCAATCCCAAATTAGTTTCTCTAGTACTAGTTTTAACTAATGGTGGCGAAAGATTGACAACTAGTTTTATCTGAAAATCAAATATATCAGTGGTAAATTCTAGTTTTGACTTGTTATTTCTAGTTATGATTTTATTTATTTTTTAAGCATTTAACTGCTAGATGTTTAAATCTAAAGAAAAGTTTACTAGAAAAAAATCCACGCGCACCAGGCAGCGGACGGGACTCGAACCCGCATCCTTCGCTATCCGGGCGAATGCACTGACCATTATGCTACCACGGCCCTATTAGCCGCGTCGAAATTTTCCTAGCCTTAAGCTGCAAGGCAGCGCCATCTCTTCGCATTGTAGGTAACCCACAATGTTATGGATTGTTATTTCTAGTTTTAACAAAGGCATTTAGTAAAAACCATTTTAAACTAGGGAAAACGCGTTCTATCTAAAATCGGGTTTTAACTGTAACATATAATATATAGATTGGACACCTTACAATAATAAGTCAAAATTCCCTAAATCACTCAGATGGCTCTTCATAATGTTGTTAACTAATAATGCAGCTTGAAATTCGTCGGATAATAATATAGGTATTACAGAAAAGGTGAATATTTACCCTTATAAATATTATTATATAGAGGGTGGTCCAACTAGTGACGTCAACAATTTTTTTTAGATTCCTCGCACCTGGGGGTATCCGAAAATACCCCATGTATGTTCCGTGATTTTTCTTGTTTTCAAATTATATTTTTTTAATGTATTTTTAATGATTTCTGCCAGCGAGGTTTCAAAAATTCTTATCTTTTTTCCTAGTAGGTGTTTTGCAGTCTTTTTTTTTTTTTGTCATAATTGTCTTGAATGATGTTTTAATAAAAAAATAACTCAAATTCCTGCAATTACTTAAAGTTACTCAAAAAAGTCTTGAAAGTTGGATATTTAGTTTTTGTAGGATTTACTCAAACGTTTAACTTCAATACAAAAATACAAAAATGAGTTTCCATAGCTTCTTGCTAAAATTAAAAACTCCGCATGCTTCTACTACCAAAAAAAAATAAAAAAAAATGTACTTAATCTCAAAAAAGGCTTGAAAGTTGGATCTTTACTTTTTAGTAGGATTTATTCAAACGTTCAACTTCAATACAAAAAGGAGTTTCCATAGCTTCTGGCTAAAATTAAAAACTCCGCATGCTTATAAACTACCAAAAATCATAAAAAAAATATGTACTTAATCAATCAGCCTATTTTTGCTGTAATTGGCTTTTGAAGGCGGATAGGCTAAAAATCATTGAAACATGATTAAAGCATTAAAGAATATTTTATCTACTTTTTATCATTGTTATGGTAAATTTAACTTAAAAATGTAATTTCAAATTCAAGTTTATTGAAATTCCTGTAAAATAACTTTAGCATGTGTAATTTTACAATAATTTCGGTTTCAAAAGTAGGTAAAATAATGTCTAATGCTTTAATCGTGTTTCAATGATTTTTAGCCTATCCGACAACAAAAATAGGCTGATTAAGTACATTTCTTTTATGATTTTTGGTAGTTTAGAAGCATGCGGAGTTTTTAATTTTAGCCAGGAGCTACGGAAACTGCTTTTTGTATTGAAGTTGAACGTTTGAGTAAATCCTACTAAAAACTAAAGATCCAACTTTCAAGCCTTATTTGAGTAACTTTAAGTAATTGCAGGAAATTGAGTTATTTTTTTATTAAAACAACATTCAAGACAATTATGCCACAAAAAAAGACTGCAAAACACCTACTACGAAAATAGATAAGAATTTTTGAAACCTCGCTGGCAGAAATCATTAAAAATACACATGGGGTATTTTCAGATACCCCCAGGTGCGAGGAATCTAAAAAAAATTGTTGACGTCACTAGTTGGACCACCCTGTATATTTATAAACGTCCTGTGACAATCACAGGACGTTGATGTCACAAGTACTGCCTTTTACATAAGCATTTAAGTAAGAAAAACAAAATAACTTTCTGTCGCAAGAGAACCATAAAACGTTTACGCCGGCGAGGAAGCGATTAACTAATGGCTGTTTTCTCGCTCAAGAAACGTACAATAGATATACATTCCATGTAAACAAAAAAGAAGCATATATAAATAGTTGATTACTGACTGTTCAACCTGCTGGCAAGAACGCGCTCCACTAGTTTGTCGCTGAGCGAAAAGAGCTATCAAGGAATGCGCGCGCGTGCATTTTCGTTAAACTGATTCCACGAACGAGTGGGAGTAATCGCAAGCTAGGTTCGAGTCTCAGAGACGCCCTCTAGTTGAGCCGACCCCCTCAGGTTCGAGTGGTCTAGAGGCTCCAGACGGATAGGAAATGCCATCCGCCTGGAATACCTCTAGAGGCACTCGCAATTTCTCGGCTTGAGGTCCCCTAAGGATCTCTCCGTCCCCAAACCTGGTGACGCTGTAAAGGTCATCTGCGACCAACAGCATACACACTCAAAAAAACACTTTCGTTTCTAGCTCTACTCGCTTCTTGTAGTCATAATCAGCCTTAGGACAAGTGCCTATTACAATTTGATATTTCAAAATTATATCAGTAATAATTAGTAATACCTATTTATTTGCAAAAGTAGATATAAATAGATAGTAATAGAATATAATCTAATATATAAAATTATCGTGTCACGGTGTTCGTAATTGAACTCCTCCGAAACGGCTCGACCGATTTTCGTGAAATTTTATATGCATATTCAGTATTTCTAAGAATCGGACAACATCTATTTTTCATCCCGCTAAATATTTATGGACAAAATTTGTTTTTATTTTTTTATGGTACATCATACATAAATACATACAACCCTAAATTTTCACCCTTCTACCACCAATCTCTATTTTTTATGGCGGTACAAAGTTGGTTGGGACAGCTAGTAATACTATATATATTACGTTTCATGTTAATAATAAATATAACTCACCTGTATATACCTAATAGCGGACCCCAGTATCGACAAATTGGAAGTCTTCTTGTCATCTGGCGTTGCCGGCAAATGTCTCTTCAATAGTTCGAAGCATTCCTTGAGATGTGCTCGGCGGTTCTTCTCTAGTTTGTTGTGCACCTCCCGCGTGCCCGCGCGGGGGGCGCTGCAGTTGCTGCTGCTGCTGCCGCTGCTACTGCTCACGGATGGTGGGGAGGGGATTTGAAGTGGCCTGCGGGAAAGAGCTCATTTGAGTTTACGTTCTCGAGGAAGGAGGTCGTTTCTTACGTTTGTTGAAAAGTTAATTTTGTATTTTTTTAAGAAAAAAATTTATCAATTGAAATATGTTTTATTAATAAATAATGTTTCAATGTAAAAGTGAAGATTTCTTCTTATGCCAAAGTACACATTTATTAAAATAGTGGTTGTTGTCCAAAATTGTTATTTTTTTCAACTTCTTGCCTATTAATTAAGAATATAATATGTATATATTGTTAATTCTCCAACTTAATTATATAGTTTAAATATAATCTAATAGAGGTCACATTTGCTTAACGCATGCACTATACATGCGTAAAGTACCTACTTATGGGTTGGTGACATTTCAAATACATAAATGCAGATGGTTTAACCAAACGCTTACTAAGTACAAATATAAATAAAAATGGGTCATCGGTGTCATCTACATTTGATTAGGGCTCAATTTACAATTTGACCTCGATATAACAGCCTTTGGATACGATATGCAAGCAATGGATAAAATCGATTAGTATGTAATACATACTCGAGTAACCGATGAGTTGATTGATACAGGGATAATTGCTTATTCAATTCGCTTACTTTAAAAATCAATCCTTGACAGCAATAGTTGGAAAAACAATTCTATCACAATATGTAGACTAAACAAGGATAAAGTATTATTCTGTAGCGACCTCCTTACATTGAATTTGTGTTTAATTTGATGTGTAGAACGTTCTAGCGGCCATTGTTTAAAATCTAAATAAATTGAGCCCTGCTCCGCATCCAACTTCTTAGAATTTTGTCTTGAAAAATCATTGGAGCGTGTTAAAATGTAAAAAGCTAGCAACGCGCATATATATGAATAAACTTTTTTTCTAACTACGATACAAACGTTTTTTTTTTGTCTCCTTCATTTTTTCGCTTTTTTTAATTTTTTCTATACAAGGCGCAGAAATTTTTCTACCCCAACCTGATTTTAGGCCAGTCATACAAGATAACGTAGGTTGCAATTAATTGCACTTTGCTGATTTTTTTGTATGTTTTTTAGGTTTTTAGTTATCAGTACTGTAAAAACAAATATGCACCTTCGGAAGACCTGTGCTAAACTGCGTGGTGTCCCAATAACTTAGAAAATAAATATTTTATCGTAGAAGACTGACTGATCGTGCACTACGCTAACAGCTATTTATTGTATTTAAACCTTAAACTGTGAGTTCATAATAAATAAAATAATGCTTTCAAGTTGTTAAAAGTAAACAATCTACAATTAAGCAAGAAAATGTAAATAAAAATTTTACTCTCCTTCTCTTTTAAAAAAATAACCTACATACAACTTAAACAATTATATATTTTTTTTATAAATAATCTTTTAAGTTGTAAAAAAGTAAACAATCTATGTTTAAAGTTTTTCTAATTCTCCTTCTCTTTTAAAAAAAAATAATCTACATACATTTCAAACAATTATATAGATAATCATCTACTCATACAAACATTGACGTGTTAAGGCACGTGACGTGCACTATCGCATCAAAGGGGATAAATAAATACAGCTACTTTTCATCAGGTCAAGATTACATACAAGGTGAGACAAGAGCGAATGCAATTCTATGAATATCTCCATGGCCAGCGTAGGAGCTATGAATTTTAAGGGAACTATTCCTTAAAGCAATGCAAGTGATTTTAGTATTTATATCTTAGCTTTTACCCATCTGCTTGATTTTTATACCAAAAGAACAATTTTACTAAAATAAAATCGGCCACGTCCCTTTTACGAGGCTGGAATCGAACCAGTAAACCTTTCGCGATCCGGGCGGATACACTAAATACGAAAATGGGTAAAAATGTAATTTAAATACATATATATAACCAAACCCCCATAAAATTAAGTTTGATGTTTTGACTTTAAGGTTCTTAATTATTTTACAAACACGTTATCTTTATAGTTCTTGTAGGTACTGGAATACTACATATAAAATAAAACATATATCTAATAACAAATTATGTAAGATTACATCTCTATATTCGCAATAAAAACAACATATCAGGAGTTAAAAACAAGATAAACTCGTTTCTGAGACGAGCAAGTAAGTGATTCGAGTCGCTATTCGTAGCCGCCGCATCGTACGATGTGTCTGTCTTTGCAGATAGTGAAACGCTCAGCTGTTTTCGCCACCACGTGTACCAGCATAGCATGACTTACCCATGGCTACTGCTTGTGGTGCGGGGCCTGGAATGTTCTTGTACGAAGTCTAGGAAGGGCGCGGGCGCGGGGGCGGGGGCGGCAGTGACTGGCGCCTGCACCGGCACTGCCACCGCCACCGGTTCTAGGGCGACCGCGGGGGTGACCGGGGGGCAGGGGGGCGCCACCACCGGCATCGGCGACGTAGGCCGCACCACGCCGTTGCTGCGCGCCGTCACCGGCAGCCCGGTCACCACACGCACCGCCACCGGTGACTTTGGCTCCTCCTCTGCACACAAACAAAGGCAACACGTCACAAATGAATCAATAAAAACTCGGTAAACGCTCGCATTTGTAACCGTAGCGTAATATCAATTTGTTCGAGATTTCTCTTTTGGTTTTGCACAACTCGACTCTGCGACATCATCACGGTCAGCACTTGTCAAACCCATGTCAACCGCTCGTCGGCGGCTGCAATCCGTGGCGGCAAAGTACCAGGCGAACAGAGGGCGAAAAGAGTTTTCGAATTGACGGCCCTGGTGGCGACCGAGCTATGCGTGCGAAGGGGACGGCTACACAAACAAATGACTACGTCAGAAACGGAACCATCGGTATAAGCAAAAGTGAGCTTTATCTTCTTAAGTATTAAAGAGAAATCGATTTGCTGCTTGTAAAAAAGTAGCCATGCTGTCGCGTAAAATGAGACAAGCTATTATTGTGGGTGTAATGAAAGAGATATAATAATGGGCGTGGTTTGGTTCTTGTGACAACGTAGTGTGGTAAGCGCGCGTGTTTTCGACTTGACAACACAATGTGGCACGCCGAAAATCAGCTGCTAGAAATTTATCTATCACAAAAATAGTCGTCCCGATAGATAAACCGGTTTCTAAGATAAGCGTTTGTCGGAGCGAGCGGCAGTGTTTTGTGTTTGTGTCAACATGTTTTAATTATATTATCGCACTGATAACATAATAATAATACCTACGTTAGTAATTATTGTGTGAGAAGCACAATCTAAAACGATTAACGATTCTGATCATTAATAATGATATTTTCAATTGTTTTTCGTATAGTAAGTAAACCACGATGCAAGTAAAACTTTTGAAATCATTCATAAAAAAGTTCTTCCACAGCTGGGAATCGAACACGGGCAGGACCACCGATGCTTGTTGATAAGGTCTGGTTTTCATAATAACAATTAAAAATGTAATGCGACATGCTAAAGATGAACGGTGAAAGTGTGGCGATACATTAAAAGTTTTAGTTTAAAAAGTTCAGTAGTTAATTGCGTGTATATTAATGGCGTATCAGCAAAATTAAAAACGGGTTTAATTGGTTGCTAGGTCTTTGCTGAATATTCTCCAAACACAGCCTTCCCTTTATCTCTCAGTTCCTTAAGACTTCTTGGGAAATTAGGATTATATAATACTATAAATACTTGAAATGATTTGAATATAATTACTAGGTTCTATATTTTTGGAAACTAAAACCAAATGGATAAAGTCAATGACAAGTTAAAACGAATACTTTATATAATATTGATACTTAAAATATTGAAATTATATTCACCGCCTCCTTGCCTCAAAATCAGCTGGCATGATCATGATTTACAGTGTATTTTCTTTAAATTATTGTAATTTTTATATAATTTGTATTTACTCTCTACATTTTTTTAAAATGGTGAATTTAATATTTATAATATTTTTTACTTATACTTATATAAAATTAGAAAAAGCCCTACTACGGGTGTGAAATAAAACGTATTATTTGTAGTTAAATATTATTAAATTGAAATTAAAAAGGGAACTTCTTTTGTTCATAATATTGCACATAAATAAAGTTTTATTTTATTTTAATATACATAACATAGTCAGAAAATAGCACTAATACCTGCAGCGTGTATGTATACAATTCTAGCATAAAAAATCGAAAGTGATCATTTATCATCAGGTTAGACGTAAGCTCGTATGCCACCTATAATATTTAAAAGAAAAAGCATAAAAAAACAACAGAATTAAGAAACATCTCGAATAACACGGTCGTATGTTAAAAAGTTTGGATAGGCAATGCAAAATTTATAACGCGTGCGCACTCATTATTCATTATGAATTAGACAAAAGGTGATAGGGGGTAATGACTCTATGACATTGAGTTCAGGGGCGTTATCAAACTCATGTTGGCTTATTCCATCCATGAATAATTTGCGAATACGGCGACATAGTCCGGGTTGTAACTGAAAACGAGAGAATACAACAACAATCCATAAAATCTATGCCTTATCAAATGATTAGGAAAATATGTACTTTTTGTATATCATCTTAAAATAAATCCTATGGACAAATCATAAAATTAATAGTGCCCCAGCGTGATTAGATTCTTAAGACTAAGTATGAACCACCCGCACTAAAACCACAACTTAATCATATTATCATAGATGTGAAAGTTTGTATGATTGTTACTCAATAACGCAAAACTACTGAAAGGATTTGGATGAAACTTTGTACGCATATAGTTTATGACCTGGACTGAGACAAAGGATACTTTTTATCCCGGGAAAATGTTAGGTTCCTATGAGATTTAAAAAAAACTGAAGTTAACGCGGGTAAGTCACGCTACACACACATGAAATGCATTATAGTTGGGCACCAATATTATTCATCATTATCACCATCATCAGCCTATTAATGTCCCCACTGCTGTGGCACAGGCCTTCCCTATGGATAGAATAGGGAGATTAGGCCGTGACCCACCACGCGAGCCCAGTGCGGATTGATGGATGCTAACACTGCAGATGCAGCCGGGAACAACGGCTTAACGTGCCTTCCGAAGCACGGAGGAATTCGAGATAGAAGATTTTTGGTCACCCACCCAATGACCGACTACTGCTAAAGTTGCTTAACTTCAACGATCGCAGCCGAACGCGCTAACCACCCACGCCATCGAGCTCCTCCAATACTTATTATCTGAAATTAACAGTTACAAAGCTGCCAAGCCTAACTGTCCCCTTCCTACAATTACAATTAACACTATAGAATTCACTTGCATTTTTATTCTTCAGTTAGATAGATATCAAGTATCTTTCTATCTACAAAGAATTATTAAAGCCAGCCATGGAGTTTCTCGAACAGACGTCGAAAATATGTAGTCCCCCCGCCTGCTACACAATATTTCAATACTAACAACGTCAAATAAAGACGCCCACATTTACATCTTTTCTCCTTTGGAGCCAATCTATACTAATATTATAAAGAGGAAAGGTTTGTATGTAAGTATGTTTGTAACGAATTGGCTCAACAAGTACTGGACCGATTTTAAAAATTCTTTTACCATTTGAATGCTACATTATCACTGATTAATATAGGCTATAGTTTATTTTCAAAAAAGTTAGGGTTCTCTATGAAAACTTCGATAATGTAACCTAACGTGTGTTAAAAATACCAAGAAATAGCTTTATATCGCGTACGCTGCGAAAGTCGTTGACAATAGAGCAAAGTGATGTACTAAAGTTTTATAGAGGATACTAATATCTACAAAAAAGTCCACGATACCATATGTCTAACTACTACAGTTATGTCACAACTAGAGGTCCCCTGCGGTTTCACCCGCGTTAATTTGAAGAAAAAGGTTTATAGTGAGTCAAACTTAAAATATAGACATAGGCTGTCGTGGGCTTTTTTACAGAACTTTTAAAGGGAAAGAATTCCGTCATACATGATTTTTGTGTACCGTTTACCCAGCGCACGTAACGGAATCTCACAAATGGAATATTTTTACCCCATTTGGCAACATTTTTCATCGATGCTCCGCTGCTACTGGTCAATAGCCTGGTAATAAATAGCCTATAGCCTTCCTCGATAAATGCACTGTCCAATACAAAAATATTTTTTCAAATCGGAACAACGCAATGTTGCCTTTGGTACAACGGGTTCTAAACTACGCAACGAATTTTTACTTGGAATGGAAGGTTTATAATTATTATAAAGAAGGTCATTGTGTATAATACAAGCCTTTGAACAAAAACTGTAGTCTACATTTCAGCTCTACACCGAAGCAAAGCGAGGGCGGGCCACTAGTATTATATAATTAGTGCTGTCTAAGTAACAGACCTAAAATAAGCGATACCCGGAGATCTGAGCCTTGGGGATTATCTATTATTGCCAAGAGGGTTTTCACGAGAAGGAAACGATAAATGTTTCAGTAATGCCTTTTTTTTGGAAAAGAACTTTCATTTCCATTCCTTCCATTTTGTAGTCGGCTGGAGAACTAACCAAACTGAGTCAAACGCCAGCTTAATAGTATAAATACTTTTGTTACTATAAATTTATTTATTTATTAATTTTATTTATGTCCAGCAGTGGACGAACATGGGTTGATGATGAATGATTAATTTTATTTTGGGAAGGTTTACAACTATCAATCACTTATTAAATAAATAAGAAAACAGTATCTAAAAAAGCCAATTAAAAACCTTCACATGTATGTCCTTACTCAATTGTTACCAGTTTTATATATAACGAAACTGAAAATAACACAAAAAATGATCTACAATGTAGTTTCCTGTGCCTTTCTTAAAGCTTTTTATTCCAAAGGCGATTCTGTCATAACGAGGAAAAACCTTAAATAGGTTATTTATAAGCAAGTTATTGTAATGTCGGACATATGAAATAGATAACATTACATAACTAAGAACCGAGTCTGAAGAATGACGTCATGAAATTCATGATGATAAACACAATCATACATATTTATATAAGTTCTATATATAAGAAAAATGACCTAATGCAGTCATAGAATATAGGTAGGTACTTCTTCCGAAGTTTTTATATATAGGTCTTAATGGTGAATATTCATTAAAATAATTCACACACAAATTGTTAAGTTCCGTGAATACTGAATAGGTATTTTAATTTTAAAGACAATATTGTGTTTTTTCGCAACCTACTCGGAGAGAATTTTTTATCATTAATGGGGTAAGGTGCAACCTTTCAGTATGATCTTTATGTTTAATTTAAAAATCATGTGGCACAATGAATTCCATACTTGGAAAACAATAAAAAAAAATAGGAAAAGGTCATCATATCTTCAAGTAAATCGTCAAGTTAAGTAAAATATTTTTTAACTTAACAATAATAAATAAATACACACTGCCAGGCCTTGAACTTGTGTAGATACTTTAGATTAAAATCGTAATAAAGTTGGGGGGAATATTTCTATTGTAATACTCATGCCAATGTCATATACAATAAATCATAGTTGATTAAAATTTGTAAGAATCCCTGTTCTATATTT